CCGGCGTGAGGCACCTGAGCCGCACGAGAAAACTTCAGCTGGGGAAGGTCGCGGAGGAGTGAGACGAGTCGCTCTGCCAGCAGGGAAGGGGGACGGAAAGGCTGCAGCCAGCGCTTTTCCTTAATTTCTGTTTCAATTATATTTAAATCTTAAAATGCTACCTTTCTTACGATGCTAATGAAATTTCCAATTAGGTGCAATCAGCATTTTAATGGAATAATTGGAGTAGCTATGCAGGTACATCCTGGTCGTAGGTTGTGTTGAGTTCCAGCAAGCAGCCAAGGGCACGATGGAGCAAGTAAGAAATAATCAACTGGCTTCAGAAAGTAGTGAGTTAATGGGTACATCAAAGAATTATTCTGTCTTCAAGTAATCAGTATCCCCCCCATTTCTGGAAGCAGGATCATAACCAGATTTTTTTCTCCCTCTATTTAGAGATGAATAAACAAAAACATGTTTCTTGGGGAAAGAACACTTCTGTTGTTCTGCAATAACTGATTCTGCTGTACTAACATTAAACTGGTCAAAAAAAATATACCTTTTTCTAATAAGGACTTTTTAAAAGATACAAAACAGCTTTGAAGACTATTGGGAGCATTCAGCACATCTGCTGAATCAGGCTGCCTGTTCCCCATCAAGCAGTGTTCTGCAAATGTGAGAGTACAAGCATCTCCTGATTCAGAAACCGCTAAAGAAAGAGATGAATTTTGTCAGGAGTCAAAAGATCCTGAGTTCCGCTCCCACATACATTGACTGTTGTTTGACTTCAAAGTCCTCAGTACTGACCTAAACCTCAACCTTCTACCTAGAAGGAGGTCAAGTGTAAGTGTATTACAAAGAGCTTGCAGCGCATCCTGTAGTGTAAGCAATAGCCTGTAGAATTCTTTAATGGTTTGGTGGAATGTGCTCATCCCAGCCTTACTGAGGCAGTGTTTGTTTCCATAGTAGTCACTTAAAAATGGCACATTTTTCTAATTTGAATTCTCAGTGGATAGTCTTCTAAAATTCGTATCAGCTCAGAGTTTTAGCTTATCCTCTTCAGCAAAGTATTGCCCGGTGCCACCTAAATAATATGGTGCTAAGTTAGTTTAATCAGCCTAATGAGGACCATACAATCATAGGGATAATTGCCAGTGATGCAGGTTCTCTGCAGTGGTGCTAATGATTCCCATCAGATGAGGATGTTTGTAAAATTTCATAAATCTTACCAGCACCCAGACTGCTTCAATAAGTAAAAGTCTCCCACTTCGTAAAATGATGCTCCCCCAATGATGCAAAAATGAGAGCATATGTTTCTGTAGCCCTACACAGCCTGACTTCTCAAAGTAGCAGCACATCCAGACCTGCAGGGACGTGGCCATAGCAGCACCTGCAAACTGTCACTGCTCTGTGTAGACTAGGAAGAAGACTGAAAAAAAGAAACAAGACTGTCAGCAATATGAATAGAAAATATAATTTATTAAAGGAGGTTTTAAAGATAGCATAACTGTCTAGGCTGCATATTGTACAATTAGATAGATGCCAGGATCTCACTGTTAAAACCTCAGAGTTCTGAAGATTTCTGTGTTTTGGTTTGGTTTTTCTTCCTTCCCTCTGAATGACAGAATGGAAGGTTGGAAGGGACTGGTCCAAGCCCCCTGCTACAGCAGATTCACTTACAGCTTGTTGCCCAGCCCTATGTCCAGATGACTTTTGAATATCTAGCAAGCTGGATTTCTTTGGTGTCGTAATTCTTTTGCTTCCTTTTTCCCATTTTGCCTTCTCTTAATTCTCCCCCAGACATATAATCTAGATTTTCCAGTTGGCTTGGGAGACACAGTAGCAGCCCTCCTGTGGCTGGGAAAGCTTCCAAGGCCAAATGTAGAATTAGCTTTCCAAACAGACACATCTTGTAACCCCCACAGCTCCCATGAGACTTAAGTGACAGGTTATCCTTTGATATGGATTAGGTACTTTAGGGAGACACGAACACAGACAGTTCCTTACCAAGAGCTTCATGATACTGTTACCTAGTTGAAGGTCTTCAGCAGTTCCCTGACAGTAAAGCTTTCTGAGTGCTAAAATATGGGAGTTCAGGTGTCTCCTGCAGAGAGCATAGGCTGAGTGACATCGTATAATAGGAAAAGGAGCTTCACTGATAGCACTCTTTTTTTTCCGAGAAAACACAAAAACTGTTGCTAGGTTTGCAACAAGCCACACCAAATTAGCAATCAATAAATACATGTGATTTTCAAATAAGCACAGAAAGCTGGATATGTCCCTGCTGTCCTCTTAGTTGTTAGGAGAAAAACATTTCCAAAATTTAATTACAATATTTTAAGTTTTTAAAACTGGTATTAATATAGTCTTGTTTAATTCACTTTCATCTTAATACCAAAGGAAAAAAATCTCTTGGATTAAAATTACTGGTTTAGGCATGCCTGAATTTTTTATTACTTTCAGCAACATTTTTGTATGAGCAAGTGAACACTAAATTGCTTTACAACCTAAGTAATAAAATATAGTCTCTGTATTGCACTTTGCTATGGTCCTGGTTTCATTTCATGGGTATTTTTCTTTCAAGAGCAGTATACAGCATGCACGTCTACATAACACTCAGCTGTGACCTACAAGAACAGAAATGACTGAAAGGATTTGCACACAGGCACCAAAAAATTAAAAGTATCCCAATTAAAAAATATATTCCCCTCACAAAACAGGATTTCCTAAAAAACAAGGAGAAAGAGTCAAATGAACAGGGCTAATTTTAAGATGCTCATGACCAGTTCTTATCAGTTCTTATACTGTGTCTGTGATATCTGAGCTCCTTGCTTCCTACCATTGTTATGTTGGTGGGCTTCTCACCCTTCAGTCTTTTCTCCAAGAGAATGGTGTGCTTTTTTGATTGGTTATTTCGAGTTTGACTTACTCAGTTCAAGGACTTTGCTAGAGTACGGACCCATTAAATAATTCCATAGAATTCTACATCATTACAGTCCTGCCATCCATTTTTCAGTTTTTCAAGTTTGCTACAGTTCCAATGCTGAGCACTGAATTTTTTAAGTTACAGTCAGTTGCAGTGCCCATTCATCATTGCCAGAGTTAAGTTACCCAGGCTTCACATGCAAAGGTGTTCTTCAGGAGTCAGAGCTGCCACTGCCTAGCAGAAAAGGAAACTGATGACTTGGCTGGCTGTAAAAGTACTCCGTGGGTCACAAATACCGAGTGCCAAGTCAACAATTTTTTCCCCTTCTGGCTAAAATGTGATCCATATGCTCTGTACAAAGTTTATTTTTTGAGATGGCATCTGGAGTACAAAAGAGACATTACAATCCAAGAGAAATATAGTAGCAATATATGAATTTATTACAAGCCTTTAAATGGCTTTCTAGTTCCCATTAAGTTTCAGCTATCAAAAATCATCCGAAATTTCTTAACCTTTCGAAAACAATTACAGAGATGAGGAAAAGTATCAGGCACCTCAAAAGAGGTAGTATTCATCAAAACCTGGTGATGTTTTCCTTAGAAAGCTTTCTGTGTTGCCAGTGTTTCCTTTCATGTAATAACTCTACAACAAAGATTTCTTCTTCCATTACTGTGATTGTTTCTATTGAGTTTGATATTCTATGCAAAGTCATTATCTGCCTCATGAAGAGCTATGAGCCATTAGTCAACAGCTGACTAAATCCAGTTCTTAAAGTATCTTTTTACTTTAAAAAAAGGAACTGAAGTTACATCCAGGAGAATAAAATCCCTGGGTTCCTGCACTTTATAAATGAGACATTATTTTTTATTGCCAAAGCATAGCCTTGGAACGTTACAAACCCCTGTTGTAAAATTTTCTGAAAAAGCACACATGCACACACACACTAGCTAAATATTGCAGTGCTCCAAGCTGTTTAAAATAATGAAGGTCTAGCAGTTCCTGACCTAGAAAGCTGTCATCTTGCTTTTTATTTAGTATTCCCCTAAAAATGGACCTGCTCAGATGGCATGTTCTCAAAAGAAATTGAAGCATCTTACTTATGCTGAAATATCCAATTTACTTTTTATCCCATATCAAGTTATCTGACAGAATTGGGAATAACATCACTGGAGGGCTGATTTTGTACACTTCATTTTATCTGGTGGGGTTTTTTTAAATGTACTCAGTAAATGATAATATATCCACAAGCTTCAGTTCAAGCAACTTCAAATATCCTTTGTATGATTTTCTATTCACACCAAGATAGAAGCCATGCAACTTCAAAATCTGGACTTGACCCAAACTTGTTGTAAAGAGCAAGAATTTCTTTGCGTCTTCATTCTCATAGAGAATTCAACCTGTGTTTTGGATATTTTGTCCTTTACACACTGTGATCTTGACCACAAACAGCCTCTGTGGTAAAAGATTTCCTATTCTCTGCAGAGCAGGAAACTTGAAAGTTTCCATTATCCTCAGGCTCTCAATAAGGAAAAGAACAAATCACTGGAAAATCCAAGATTCATAAACCCTCACTGGGCTTAAGGAGGATGAGTGTCTACCTCTCTGACTCCTCTTATTTTCAGATGTATTCTGTAACTTGTTTTCATTTATCATGTTCACTTTCCTGCTTTCAATGATTTGTTCAGGAATGCTCTCATCCTATTCAGAAAAAAAAAATCCATCTCAGCTTGAAGAATCTAGCTCATATCATATTAAAATTGCAACCATTAATAGGAACCACTGCTCTTTCAAGACTTTAGTGCAGCTTATATACATTTTTAGCACCTTTATAGTTGTTTTCTTTCTGTTTGGCTACACATTACCGTAAAACATAAGTAGAAGTAGCAGTACTTATGAGAATATTGGTAATAGAGTTGGCTGTATATATTAAGTACATTTCAACGACAAATATGCTCTGAGAATTTACTTTTATTTGCAGTATGGAAGACTGCAGACAGGCTTTATTCAGAGTTCTGCTTTGCAGTTCAGCCACAAAGCAGAACTCTTAGTACCCTCCTGGAGATGGATTGGCCAGGTTCATATTCAGCTTCACTGACACCCAGGGACTGAAGTAATTAAATAAAAGGCTTGCAACATGAACTGACAGTTACATTCTTCTTCCTTTCTGAGGGATAAAACTATTAATTTAATTCCTCGGTAGTGACAAAGAACATAAAATTTCAAACCTTCAAAACTGTTCCTTTCCCCTCCTTCTGTATCACTGCCAGAGCACAGACCATTTTTCTGGGCACTCTTGGCATTCGGGTAGTGTGGGTGGCAGCAAGGACTGAACCAAAACCTTTTGGCATGTCCTGATGTCCCAAGAGTCTGGTCTAGTCCTTCTAGCCCTCAACCAGTAACTAATACTATGCAGACTAGCCACTAGAGGGGAATAAAGAATCGTACTGTTCTAACATGGGTTACTGCATCACAAACTGCTTTGCAGGGACATCTCAGCCATGGCCATGAACAAGTGCTGTATCTGACTCAGCTGGCAATGCTGCTTCATGCTGCAGCCATTACATTTGTATTCAGACAGCAAGTTTACTTAAGGGTCTTTAAACCTGTAATATGTTTGTACACTCACTGCATAATTATTATAAATGCTTGTACTGCTAACTGTATCCTAATTATTTGCAGTGGTAAAGTTTTGTAGGCTCTGAACCACCAAGAATTTCACATCCAATTTAGTTTTTTCAGATGCTAAACACAGAATATGGTGTTTTCGAGGGCAGGGAGGTGTGGCCATCAGAGATCAGTCACAGCTAACTAGCCTAGGAGGGCTGTCAACCCTTAGGTGCCTGTAAGACCCTCATTTGGGAAGCTACTGAAAGCAGGTAATGGTACTAAAGCTGCTGAATAGTGAGTGAACGGTGCAGAAACCAATCTAGATAGTGGAAGTTTAGGACAACTGATTTTCAGGTGGTTGAGTTAGCTTTTGCCTATACAACTTCGACTTCTCTGCTCTAAACAGTGCAAGTTAAGACCAGTGAATAATTCTTATTACCCACCAGGAGTCCCTAAAAGATACAGAAGGCTCGTTTTTATTACCAGAACAGACCTAAGAATGAGCAGGATTATGTTAAATGAGCATACCAGTGAAATGACATCCTCCAACACTTCAAAACTAAACAAAAGGAGCAGTTCTAATCCAAAATCAGGAAGAGATACCTTGAAATAAATTGTAAACCTTTAAATTTCACAGTTTCAAGGCCTCTGAACTCCCTTTCTCTCCTGTCCGCTCTCCTGACACAGAGCTGTGATCTCTAGCAACTCTTTTAATAATGAAGGCAAAGATTCTGCTATAGCCATTTGATTGCAGGAAGCAGAGTCAGAGAAAAAAAAAAAAGGCAACACAAAAGGAGTAGTGCTAAAAAATATATGAGTTGGCAATGCCACTGTATATTATTTTCCAGGCCTAACAGAGCTGGATTTGAAGACAATATCCAGGGACAAGAGCTTAAAAATGGAAAATTTACTAACGTAAAGATCCTTATCTTCACACAGAAATCCAGGCAGGAGGTATGTATGTATTGCTTTTTAGTAAGAGGGCGGCCAGCAATGATCCAATTTAATTTCCTGTAGTAGGAAGCTTAGCAACTATTCAGTAATAATATCTCCTTAGGTGATTGCTGCTTATACTTGGAGGGATGTGAAATTAGAGGAAGTCCTTGAAATATTAATGCCATTGCCCATTACAGTCCTTGAAGAGGAAGACAAGGACATTGGACTGAATGTGCCATTGAATGCTTGCCCTTGGCAGTGTTTCAACCATCACACACACATCTGATTCTCTCTAAAGTGGAAGAAATTCTTGGCTTGGGACACATCCCCTTGGGTTGTTTCTCATGGAAAATGCTGGACACGGGGTTACTTCATCATGACTGATTTGCTTAATTGGAAAGAGAGAATGATATTTCTGCTGTGAAAGTAATTGGTGTTTAACATTTTTGCATCTAACTTCTTTCAGGAAGTTTCCACTGATTTTCCTTAAGCAGGTCTTCATAGGCTGATGCCTTGATAATGAGTTGTATTTTCCACCTTAGCCATACAGCTGTCTCCCACTAGCAAGTATGAACTTGAAACATTTTAAATAATATGCATTACAATAAGAACGTACATCAGACAATTAGCAAAAGTGTAATTGAATTTGTCTCCTGTCTGAAAATAGAGGGAAAAGGTTGGCTTGTTATTAGTAGCATGACAACCCTAATAACATTTTAAAATGTATTTTTAATCTAGGATTAATTTTCCAGCACTTGATAAAGCAATTTAAATTTCATAAGCTTCATTGTCCTAAACAATTTGGAAATAAAGGATTATCTGTAGCAAAATTGAAAGGCTCATTTGGAGACTACCTGTGTGCCTAAGCTTTTGAGACTACCTGTGTGCCTAAGCTTTTCTATGAAAATATGTAGACAGTTATTTTGCTGGAAACTTTTTTCATGCAAATAGAGGGATGTATTGTCTATTTCACAGGAATATTTTAGCTTGAATCATGTTCCTATCAGGAAACTTAAATTCCAGACTGTATATGAAAAGTAATAAGTGGGTTGGTACGAACTTTGCCTCAAAAGAATAAAGCATGGAAATATAGACCACACATAGAGATACTAATTAAATGCTTATAAACAATACTGCAATTAACGATTAATTTTATAAGAGTGAGTCAAGATTTAATTTTTTGGTAATCACTAGTAGATCTGCTTTAAATCTTCTTACTAGAGTACTTACATAAATTGTTTATGAATGTTTACACAGTTGTATTCTGGTTGGATTTGTGAAGTCAGTCTTGAATGTTTTGTTTGAAATATTTATTGCAATTGACCCATGTAGAATTAATGTGTGCTTTCCATAATGTGCTAGAGAAATTTAGCATAGTGGCTGTCTTTACAGCAAGAACTATTTTCTAATTATTAGGTAAGCATTTGTTCATGATTTACAAAACTGTAATTTAGAGACTTCAATACACTATTAAAGATCAACATAAAAAATTTGTCACAATTTTTCTGGCTTTCAAGGCTTTTCAGCAAATTCTGTAGAGGAGAGATTTTTTAAAAAGAAATGGATACTCACAATTGTAAATTTACATGATGACTTTTTGATGATATCTAAATGATGGCACAGCAGCTAAAATAACATGGAGAGAAGCATAAAGACTAACTGATAGGGAAACCACTAAGGGAGGTAACTGTGTGAGTACATATCTACCATAAACAGAGTGAACGAGAAAAGCACTAGAATCATGCATTGTACCAGATTAATTTGCTGGAGAATGTGGAAAGGGTTGTAGACCACGTATCATGGTTAATTTTAAAAGATATCTGCCAAGCTTGCTATACTGTGCTATGAAGATAGTTTAGCCAGAATTACAAAGGGGAGGAAAATATTCCAAGAGATTTGGAATCACACCTGCAAGATAGAGACTAGGATCAGTGTCAGATCCACAGTAAAGATAACCGGTAAAAATAACAGAAAACCTGAAGCTTTGAACAGAATTTTTAAATTTATGTTTCTGCCAGATTTGTTGGTGCAGCCTTTTTTTAAAGTAGCAATATGCTGCACTTGAGGGAGGGAAAAAAAGCATGAATGAGCAGTCTGTTCAAACTAGAGAAAATGTAAGAAAGATAACACTATTGTCGGTATCGTCAACATATTGTGAGCATGTACACAAGGTACAGCTATGTACACAAGGTAAAGCTATTACTGAGCTTTAGGAAAGTGGTATTTGGAGTACTTCAAAAGGATTGGAGAATCAATTCAGATAGTTATCTGGACTGATACAGAGATGGAAGTGGTGGTAAGCATTCTGCAAAACACTTCATCCACAAGGCTGTTCAGAAAACAGAAAACAGTACCTGTTTTACTCATATTTTTCCTATTTCTTTTCCTCCTGTTCACTTCCTATTTAGAATTTATGACTACTATCAAGAGTTACTCAGAATAGATAAGTGCATTTTCTATCAGACTAGAAAAGTGCATTATCTACTTTATTGTTTATTGGTAAGGATGTTCTTCGAATTCTATAAGAACATGGGGTAAAAAAGAAATAAAATTATTAATTTTTGGAGCCTAAGCACATCACACAAAATAATCCAGATGTTCACTGATAATGCTTTTTCCTGCAGTAAAATCAGCATCTCTCTCTCTTTTCCTACTTTTCACTGAGTTTTCTGTCAAGTCAGAGTAAAGGCTTCTTACGTACCTCACTCCTCTACCTCTTTCTTTGGCATTTTTAAAGCATTCCTCCCACTGAAAAAATTCTGTATCCCAGGATCTATCCTAAATATTCTTAATTCAGGCACTTACATGGGTTCCAAGGATAGGAATCTCAGTTTTAGTTACTTTAGACTTTGTTATGTCCTTCTCATCTGCTTTATGATGAAACATTTGTAGTAAAGATACTTCTGTTTATCTTTAAAGAAGTCTCTTTAAAGATACTTCTGTTCTGTTTGGCACTTTCTGCAGATGTGATGTTTCAGTTCAATTATAAAGAATTGAATGAGCTTCAGTACAACTTTGTTCCAATGACATTAGGAGATATTTCTTCAAGAAATTATTTATTTAGTCTTAGGTCTCTACCACCGGTAAAGTTTGGTTTCAGGGAATCACCATTTCTGCCTATCTACTCAAGGTCCTTAAGTCAGAAAAAGAATTAATTATCCCATAGCAGCTCTGTAGAAAGAATTAATGCATTGCAAGTGTCCTACTCTGTCATGAGGCTCCATTCACTTCTGCACTAGTATTGAAGTTGCACTGAGGCTGAAATCCTTCAATTGTCTTTTTCTTCACCATTCTTTACTACAATGTTTCAATCTCAGTTACTGCCCTTGTTCCCTCTTTGTGTCATTTACCTGTTCCATAATCTGCAACAATGAAAAGTTTATAGTCTGCCTCATTTATTGGAATATTAATATTTGGGATATTTCTCCAAATAATTTCTTTCCTATCATCCCAACAAAATGTTTACTTATTTTTAACTTAAAAATTCATGTCCAGTTGTTTCGTTATGCATGATCATGATGACATGCAGAAATATATTTTCTTCATAGAGTTATGATTGACTGGTCCAAATTGATGAGTTGTTTTCTACTACAGTGCATTTTAACAGAGATTCCAATATTATATACACCAGCACAAGTTAACAAGTTACAATCTGTTTAATGACAAAAACAAATTTTAAACAAAATTTTCTTCTTAGTTTAAAAGTAAATAAACAATAAGTATTATCTTTCTAGTTAATGTTTCTTGCCATCTGAATAAACTACTGTTTCAAATATGAATCCCCTTTCCATTATAACCCCCATTTTATATAAGTACGTTCCAGTCAAAAACTGGATAGCATGTCAACATCTTTTACAGATTTTCTTTCAATATATAAAAAACAATTAGACAAACAAAAAAACCATAACATTATGTTTCAAAATTATCTGGTTCAAATTTCTGAAAGATATTGAAATTACTTCTACCTCCTATAAGAATAATACCTAAAGAGAACAGGAGAGAAACTGCCAACTGGGAATTATTTTAAAAACATTTTTAATGTATCCTAAAGAATTTGTAAAGTAATTTTAAATGTTCACAGAAAGCAGTGCATTGAAGAGGAAGGAAATGGAAAGAAGACATTTTCCTTTACAAGTACAAAACAGAGTGTAATTTCATTTCAGTTCACATTTGAGAAGCTTGAAAAACAACATATCAAAAATGCAAATGTATACAATATGTTTAAAGACAAATATAATGCAATTGGTCTGTGTAGTGGCTAAATCAGGAAATTGACTGTAATTGTAGTTTATTTTATGAGAACATAATATAATTACAAGACTGTTGAAAGAGAAGCTTATATACATCAAAATCAGTGGATTAAGACATAATGTTCTTATATGAAATTCTGCCCTCAGACTCCGAGGCACAGGATGAAGTGGCAGAGTGTGGTAATGGAGTTAAGAGCCCCACAGAGGATTAAAGAAAGCCATACTGCCAGCAGTGCTCAGCAGGCATGTGAGGAAGGAATCAGAGTATACATTCAAAATGAATTGACACAAGAACATGGAGTGAAGAAACTGCTTGAGCCGTAAAACACAACCTTTCTTTTTATAGGCTGTAAATGAGCCTTGCTCTATGCCCACACAGAAAGTCAAGAGTATGAGGACACATGAAGCCTTCAGTGTCCTGCCTGGACTGGAGTGTAAAGGTCCCAATGGACAAAAAGATCTCCCAACTGATTCAGAGATGAAAAAATAACATTGTTTTCTTAGAGCTTAACAATTACAGAGGATAAAATTTGCCACTAGCACTGATCACTGATGGCAGGAGAAGCAATGTTTTTAGATTGCTTGGTCATAAAAGTGACCTGTAAAAGGATTAGTTCATAAGTCCTACGAACCTTCCATTAAATGTGTAGATCAAGTGAAATAAAAATTATAGGATGACTAAAGAAATTTATGTGGAAGACGACAGTGGCAATGAGCTGAGGGATAAGATCAGTTGTGTTTGCTCATATGAGCTACTGGAAAATAAGA